CCACTTAGGCACTTAATTCAGCCATTTATTCTCCCTTCATCATTTCCTAACATGACAGTTTCTTTTCTTTGCATTCTTTCACTAGGATGTGAAGTGATCGCTGTCAATACCCGTTCCACTAGTCAGACTTTTATTTATAAGTGTGACGCTGTGTTGTGTACCCTTCCCTTGGGAGTGCTAAAGCAGCAGCCTCCAGCAGTCCAGTTTGTTCCTCCTCTCCCGGAATGGAAGACATCAGCTGTACAGCGAATGGGATTTGGAAACCTTAACAAGGTAACATGAAAAGCACAAAGACTGTTTATTTAGCATAACTGGTCAGCTCGTGGAGAGTCAGCGTGATTATGCCTGTGGTCTTACTCTGTGAAAAAGGCAAAATGCCTTTTATCAATACCTGAAATATTTTCTGCAAGAATAAAAAAGACATACCTTTTTTTGAAGTTCTGTCATCTGCTGTTAAACTATGAGGAATACTTTAATTGGCATTAATGTTTTCCTCCTTTGCTTAATAGGTTGTTCTGTGTTTTGATCGTGTTTTTTGGGATCCGAGTGTGAATTTATTTGGTCATGTCGGCAGTACAACGGCGAGCAGAGGGGAGCTTTTCCTGTTTTGGAATCTTTACAAAGGTAGTTGTGTGAAGGCGTGTAACACTCTCATGTTCCAACGAGCAAACTGGAATCCCTGAATACATAAGGTCATATACCGGGATTGCAAACTAAGTGCTCAAAGTACATAAAATATTAAACACTGAGTAAAGTTTAAAGATTGAGTACAAGGTTGTTGAGCTTCATTTTAAGAACTGTGAAGCCTGCAAACCTGGAAAAGTTTGAAGTGGCAGTAAATTGAGGACATGCAGTGGAGATCTTGAGGTTGCATGAGCCTCAAAGGAAAGAAACAGCACTATATTAAGTGAAAAATGGTTCCTTGATCCCTGAATAACTCTCATTGGCTCCTGACCCTCCATAACTGGGAACACCGATGTCAGCCAGTGTTTCAGCATGCACTTTCGGCATAGTATGAGAGCTTTTCTTAAACCTTTCTTTTTTGGACAGATCTGGTTGAACAGAATAGCTCTAAGTTTAGCTGTTTTCAAGTCATTAGCCTATCCAGCATCATTGTAAGACCACCTTAATTTCAACCATTTACATGGCTAGGAAATCTGTTTCATTTCTAGGCTGTTTGCAAACATTCACAAGGTGGGTGGAGTTAACATTTCTTGGACTTGCTGTCTGTTAATGCCCCATAAACTTGTTTCCCTAAACAGCACCGATCCTTCTGGCTTTGGTGGCAGGAGAAGCAGCAGGAATCATGGAGAACATCAGCGATGATGTCATCGTTGGACGCTGCCTTGCTATCCTCAAGGGTATTTTTGGCAGCAGTGCTGTCCCACAGGTATCCTGTCCTTTCTAATGCTGGGCGTTTTGTGTGATGCGCAGTCTAGAAGCCTTTTGCCTGCATGTTTTCCTGTCTATCCATCCTAGTAAAGCCTTGCAGCTTCCTTTCAAGAAATACCCTTTGTGAAGCAAATCTACCAAACTAGAAAGGGGCTGTTTTTAAACTTGCTGTATTAGAAAAGGCTGGAAATTCCCTTCTCTGTTTCATCTTTTATTGATTTAAAGAAAAATTATGGTTGCTGAATACTCCATATTTTAAATGGTTTAATGCCATTCTCATTGCTGTATGTTGTTAATCTGGTCAGTTTTGAGGTCTTAGGATTTTTCACTTTCCTCTTGCACTAATAGCCCATGATGGGGCAACAGTCTCTTTCCATTTTGCATTCTTTGTGAAGGAGGTGAGTTGACAGCAATCTACCTGTTGCTTGTTCTCTCTTGGATGTTAAGGAATCTTAAACCTTTTCTGCAGGCACCTCAGAACTTTTCAGGTTTTTGCTGCTTGCAAGACAAATTTTGTTATAAGCTTGATTTGCCTCTTCATACATTCTCGCCCAACCCTTATCCCAAAGACTTCATAAAAACCTTACTTCGGCAGTGTTCCCATTGAATTTCTCTTCTGCTTCTTTCTCAGCCCAAAGAGACGGTGGTATCTCGATGGCGGGCTGATCCGTGGGCCCGAGGCTCTTATTCCTATGTAGCAGCTGGTTCTTCAGGAAATGATTATGATTTGATGGCTCAGCCAATTACTCCTGGACCAGCCATTCCAGGAGCTCCCCAGGTGAGTCTAAAACATCCTTTTGAAGAACAGCCAAGTTTAACCATATGTTGCTAGGATGTGACTAGCATCAGGAACCCAGTTACTTGGGCTTAATTTTATTTATCAAATTTATTGGCCACTTCAGTGAGTTTTCCCCATTTTATGACATAGTTAAGTAAGTTCACTGCAATTGTTAGTGAATCATGTGGTCGTTAAGCAAATCTGGTTTCCTCCATTGACTTTGCTTGTCAGAAACCAACTGGGAAGGTCACATGTTGATCACATGACCCTAAGACAGTATAACTGTTATAAATACATGCCAGTTCCAAGGGTCCAGATATGATGGGAATGCTGGCAACCATCATGTGAAAAAACAACTATAAGTCACTTTTTTGAGTGCTTTTGTAACTTTGAATGGTCACTAAATGAAGGGTTGTAATTCAAGAACTACCTGTACTGTTTTCTACTTGATTCCTTGGATCAGCTTCCCCCTCTTCCAGCCATAACAACTTTCGATTAATCTAATCATGCAGCCAAACTTAGTGTCGCGTTGTCCATAGAAGTCACCTGGACCCTGGTCTGTAACTATATCAACCCAATTCTCACAACACACTCAACTAGAAGATGGCGAATTGGGTAATTTGTGTGCTGGGGAAAACAGCCATTGCCTTATACTGTGTGGATCAGGCCATCACGCTAAACACGCTATGTATTGCAACTGTATTTTGTTAACCCGTTTTCAGTCAGGGGGGATTGAATGAACTCAGGCATTAAGGAGTTCCATGTGGGAACAAAGAAACAGATGTACTCACATTTCTGTAAGAGTGCTGTGTTAGTCTATGATGGCAGAAAAATCAGGTGTTTGGTGGCATCTTTTCCAGCTAACAAAATTTTATTAACAGGCATCAGCTTTCATGATTTATAACTGTCAAAAGACATAAAGCAGCTAGACCAGTGTTTCTAAGCCTTGGTGACTTCAACTTCCAGAATTTTCCAGCCAGCATGCTGGAGAATTCTGGAAATTGAAGTCCACGCATCTTCAAGCTGCCAAAGTTGAAAAACCCTGGGCTACACTGATGTAGAATTTAAGGCTTTGGTGTAGGGCTGTGGGTAAATTCCAGGAGGAAAATGGACCTCCTGTGGAGGTTGATGTTTGTTACTTGGTTTGGAAGCCAGTTAGGAGTCCCTACACCAGTGAGCAAATCCTTCCATCCATGCTTTAAAAAGTTTCTGATCTGAACATGTTTTGAGGTTCACCATTATTGTTTGCTAAATTTAAATTCTTGTTTTTGCATCAGAGAAATATTATGTTATTTTCCTTTGCCCTCTTCATCTGAGAAATAAATGCTTATCACATTTTTGCAATTCTTATTGCTGCTTCAGCAAAATTTACAAATTATCCTCCCACCCAGTTTCCATTTCCGGGGACCTCACTAAAAACACAGCTGACTCGGACCATCCTTCTTTTACCAGGGGCCCATTACCTTCCTCAGAAGGTCTCACGTCATTGCTCTTTTTCCCCCCCAGCCAATTCCTCGTCTCTTCTTTGCTGGAGAACATACAATTCGTAACTACCCAGCGACAGTTCATGGAGCGCTGCTAAGTGGCCTGAGAGAAGCTGGGCGTATTGCAGACCAGTTTCTTGGTGCGATGTACACTCTTCCTCGCCAAGCGACCCCTGCGGCAACAGCACAACAGACACCTCCTATGTGAAGATGCCAGTGCTAGAAACGGTGCAGTGGGATCAGAACCCTTGGCATGGGCAGCTGTTACAAGCAAGTGGAACTGTGTTCTGTACCACTATCAGTTGGAGGGCTTAATCCAGAAGTTGGAAATCATGTGACCCAACAGAGAAGGCCTTCAAAGATATCCATCATTTGAAATGCTGCTCTTGATTTGCCAGCCCACTTCAGGCCCAACAGAGTAGTGTTCGCACTACTCGGAAAATAAACTGAGTCTTTCTCAAGTTGGAGCATTTTAGGTACATATGGGGTTTTGGTTAACTTTCTTCCTATGGTTTAGAGTTCTTGTAAGATAGCTGTTAGTAATTAAGGTAAGTTCGTTTTACATGGATTTGGCTTAGAAAGCAAAAAAATAAATCTTCCTAATTTTTTTTTTACAAAAACTCCTAATGTGTTTGGTTTGTTTTTTTTTTTTTTTAGTATGGCATGCTATTGTGTTGTGGGGTCCTTGGTGCTCTCTGAGTTTGGTTGTTTTCTTGCAAACATTTCATTACCCAAAATGAGCACTGATAACATTACCTAGTTGGGTAATGAAATGTCTCCAAGAAAACACAATCAAGCTCAGAGAGCACCAAGGGCCCCACAGCTCAACCTTGAGCTACAAATAGTCTCTTCTATTGGGTCTTCTTTGTTGGCTTAAAAAGTTAAATTATGTGAGGTGAGATGCAGGCTTAGCAATCACAATGCCAACGCATCACAGTAAGTTGTGTGGAAGTGACTGGATTTTCTTTCCCATATAAGAAGCAAAAGGACTTATTATGCCTCACAAGTTGCATTAACATACAAATAATTTTATTGATTATGTACTGCAGAACAGATAGCATTAGTCAGAAGATAACATGCGGACAAAAGAAAATGTATTTAAACATAGCATGCAGACTCGTTGCTCTGTGTAACTGGCAGGCTCCCACTGCCTGCCTGTCCAGTGCATAGGCGAGTTTGGGAGGTGAAAGAAGGGGGAGCCTTTCCCCAGCCAGCATGCTGGTACTCTAGTGCTTCCTTGTGGGTCAGGGGGGAGCATGACCTGGATAGTGCTGGTCATTGGCTGAGCATGTGGCAGGCTGGGAGCCGAGGCGCTCGAGATAATCGTGGGCTTAAATTGCACTTGCTTTTTTTTTCTTCACCTGAAAAGGAATAGAAGGCAGGCGATGCCCATCTGCCTTAGAACACATAACATTGTCTGGCTTCTGCAGTCCCTTTTCCACCCCATCTGGACATTAACAAATAGAAAAAATATATTTTCATCTCTTAAAAATACATTCCACAGAAGTTGAAGGATTCTCAAGTGTTTCATACGGCAGGAAGACCAATATGCCCTTTGTGCAGGTATGGAAGGCGGATTTTCGGCTTCCAACAGCCACCCCCCCACCCCCCCAAAAAAGAGAGAAAGTAATTCCTTTGGTCTCTAACCAAGAAGACAAAAGACGGGGAGAACTTCTGCACAGCAGTCTCTCCCTGCTCTTTTCCTTCTTTGGCGATCAAGTCGGGCTTTTAACTAAAGCAGCAAAATGCAGCCTCCTCATTCCGTAAATGTGAGTGGGCAGGGAAGGGGGCATCATTTCAGTGCTTCAGGGGCACTGCCCAGCTGCTGCATACATGCAGGGTCTTTCTCACCGACCCTATGGCTAAAACCCTACGTTCTTGGCACTTGGACATCAGCATTTTATCCCTAAATTAGTCTTGCCTCTTAATGGCAAGAAGCTTAGTACGAAGCTTAGTACTGTCTACTCTGGCTGGCAGCGGCTTGCATACCATCTCATGAAGTTGGGACTTGGTGCATACAAAACTCTGATTTAGTCAACAAGATGCCTGGCCCTCAATCAGAGCTGCAATGCTGCTTCAGCAGCGGTAGGAAAGGAGCAAGAACAGGTCGTGTCCTTGTTAAGAAGCGGAAGTCTCCTGATCTCCTGGTGGGAGAAGCTGCATGTTTTAAAGTTTCTTGAGTTAAGAAAGAGAAGAAGAAAATTCATGTGCATCAAATACAAAGCTGCATTATTTTTTGTTCCTTAAAAAAAAAACACCACAATTTTTCAGCATCCGAAAGTCCCTGGAGGGAGGATTCCCTATGGTAGTTACATCTTGCAGTTTAAAACACAAATTCATTAATTCACCCCAAACATTGGCAAATATTTACAAATACACTTTACAGTTGTTTTTCATTAGAAGTGTGCAAGCTGAGCCAATCTTCATGTCCTGAAATCCTCATGTTCACAAATACAATCGGCTCTTATTGCACTTGGGGTTAGCCAGGGGTTATAATCCTGATTTACAGAGCCATTCATTGAATAACAGTCCTTCCCCTCTCTGGCAATAAGGATTATTTATTGCTCTACATCTAGTTTAATATACGATTATTGATGGGGAATAGTAAAACTGAGAATGGGAAGTCGATTCCCTGATATATAACAGCGAAGACATGGTATTAATATTTAACTAGGGAAAATACATTTCTTCTGCAGAATCTTATTTCTGCCCTGCCCCCCAAAAACCCTAATAAGGATGGATATAGTAGCTATCAATTCAATGGATTTTGTAAATACATAAGAGCACAGAAGAAAACAAGGATAGATTTATGTCCCAAACGGTTCTCAGAAAAACCTCCTCTTCCCAGCTGTTCAAGTATATTCGAAGGTAGGGTGTCCAACTTCGACCGCTTTTAAGATCTATGGACTTCCAACCCCCAGAATTCCCCAATCAGCCATGCATAATTAGCTGGGGAATTCTGGGAATTGAAGTCCACGTGTCTTAAAAGTTGCCAAGGTTGGACACTCCTAAGAAACAGAAATGGATCCCACCCACATCCCCAGAATAAAGACTGCAGTAGTGGAGGAGGAAAAAAAGTTGATCCTATCAGATGAGCCAGAGCTGTGATAGCCTGTTGGCAACTTGATAGAGTTAGGAAGGAATGAAGAAATTAGAGGGTCTCTACTAGGCGTATACACAACATTTCTATTGGGGCTTGGACAAGTTACCAAGACAGCCCATTTTTCACTAGTGAAAGCTACAGAGTTCTGAGGAGTTACCTGAAGTAATCTTGGAGGGGGAAAAGAGATTGTCTCTGCCTTGTTGAGTTAAAGATTGAAAATTAACCCTTTCAGGGGCTGCGTCTGCATGTCATAGTAAACTAACAACATGTTGAACCTAGTTCTCGAATTAAGCTATTTTCTGCATTTAGAAAAACACACTTGAACCATAATTTAATCCAGGGGTTTGCAAATGGGAGCTGGGCCAGCCCAGTAAGGAAAGGATCCACATCTTGTTAGAAAAAAAAAAGTGTTATAATCTCAGTCTAGCACAGGTAGACCGATTAATATCTATTCTGCACCTTTGCTCTTCCCTTTCTCTGTATGTTGCAAAGTTTATGACTGCCTCTGATATGCGGGCTAACAATAACTCAAAGTGGGACATTTATTTCTTGCTGAACCCTACCCTCAAGTTCAATCAGTTATTGGGAATGGATCTCACAAAAAATACTTTGTTTTAGGAAACCACTGAAAAAGTTGAAAATCCTTGGATCACACAACACCCTAAGCCCAACCAACCACCATCAAGCTTAAGACTAACCGAGCTTAGCATTGCCACTTAGTGGTGCTAAGCTTTGCATAATTGACTTGTCTAAATATACAGTGGGGCTGTAGGTGATGAGGTACAAATGAAAAGGACCATATTTTAGCCCAGAGTCCACAAGTCTTAAAAGTTGCCAAGTTTGGGGATCCCTTTTTAGCCTATAATGTTAGCCGATTGAGGAACAGTAACACCTGAAATTCCATTGCTAAAAGGAACATGCTTTAGGAAGGAATTTAAACACTCTGTAGGAACCAGAGTCCTCAGAATTAGGGTTAGATGCTGTAATTGCCCCCATTCCCCGGCATTGTAGCATCTCTGACCCAACTGAAGGAATGGCTCAAATAGCAGCAGAATCATTGCAGGTTTAATTTTCAGGTAGCCTGAGATCAAGAAGAATGGAACTGTTTATATCATGTTTCATGCGCTAAAGTGCTTTCTTTAATTCGTGGTGGAATGGCTTCTTTTGGGATGGGGGGGGTACTGTTTAAAAAAAAGCATTTTGGGGGGATTAATCCACAAGCCTCATCTTATTACTAGATCAGGCACACAAAGCATGCAAAAAAATACTCATTAAAATGGCCACTAAGCTGGTTTCCAACACAGACCAAATAAAACTTTCATGCACCCATCAATGGACACAAATCGATTAAAGGTGTTTTTTTTCCCCATTCCCTCCCCACCCTACCCCCCACCCCGTCAAGCTGGAAGACTTGCCAAAAATTGGAGAATAAAAATAGTGTTACCTTATGACAACCGTCCAAAAAGTGCTGGAGCATGAAATAAAGGCTTAGATCTTTTTAAAAAGGTGCAAGAATCTTTTTGGTACAACTCCATCAAAGGCTGAGCTGGTAGCTTAAGGGGGGATGTGATGTATGAATTCAGAATTGCTTTAGCCCACAGAACTAACCCTGGTTATGCTAATCCAAAACACAGAAACGTAGTTTAGGAAGGAAGGCCTTTGGTCTCTTGAGTACCTCCCCAGATTTCCCTTTATTTTGCTATAAGAATGAGCACTGATACCCTTTTATAAGCCAAACCAGCAGTAGGTTGCCTCCGATTCATATCTGAAGCACTAGCAGATGATAGCTCACAAACGTTCCTCAACATGCCTTAGGCTTCCTAGACGTTTTGCAACAAAACCCAGAAACCCTTGCATCTCCTTTTATTCCTGTTGCACTACAGAAAACGTGGCATGCAAAAAGGGAGAAACTAGGAGCTTCCACAACAAGCATCGGTTTAGGTTCAAAATATTACAAGACAAAGATATAAATGCTCTTTGTGGTTCCAGAACCAGATTCATGTTGAAGGCCTCAAAGGATACCTAAATGGCTGGTTTTTCAACAGCAACAAAGGAATAACAACACTGGTTTGTGTGGACCCACCTGGGCCCCTGTTCTGGCCATCATGACTTTTTAAATAAAGTCTGATTGTGTTTTTCAAATCCTGGTTTGACATAAAGCAGGACTTTGTACACGCAGCATACTCTGGCTATAATCTCCTCTTTCTGTAAGTCTTAACATGCTAACGACTCCAGGCATGGCTGTCACAGGAAATCCAAACTTTTCATTAAACTCATATTTGGTGGGAGTAAGATGGCAAGGAACACACTGCACTTGTTAACTGCTTCTTGGTTTAGCTTATTGTGTGAACACAGGCACTCATCTATGAAAAAGACACATGGGGATTGTTAATTCTTGAGCTAAGAATATTCCAATGGAGTTTCCTCTTCTATATGGGTGACTTTGCGCAGGCGTCTTCAAACTTGGCAATTTTAAGACTTATGGACTTCAGCTCCCAGAATTCCTCAACTAGCCATGCTGGCTAAGGAATTCTGGGAGTTGAAGTCCACAAGTCTTCAAGTGCCAAGCTTGGAGACCCTAGCTTAGAGGCAGGGCTTCCAAACATTTTCCTTCATTACCCAAAACTGCTTACCAAAAAGCCTTATCAAACTTTTGAGGGCCTGTTATAACTCCCTTCCTCCAGCACCATTGTAACTTCAAACTGTCACTGAATGAATGGTCGTAACTGGAGGATTACCGGGTATTATACAAACAGTGATCACCAAATGATCTTTATGTTTTTTCAACAAATTACCAAATTGTAATTTTATCACCCTTCATCTTAAATAGGAATGCTTTGGGAGGTTTTTCAAATTTATTTTAGTACATGTGGCAATCTTAAGTCAATTTAAACGTTCCTATTCTGATTGGCAATGGGGTCATGTGTTGTTACCCAAAGGGGGACAAAAAAAAGAGTTTTGCTCAGTTTTGGGTAATGTGTCACATTTGGGATGCACTGGCTTAGAGGGAGGCAAATCTTTCTGAAGCGCACAGTGCTACATCCTGAGGGGGTCCCCAAACTTGGCAACTTTTAAGACTTGTGGACTTCAACTCCCAGAATTCTCCAGCCAGCTAAGTTGCCAAGTTTGGAGACCTCTGCCTAACACCATCAGACAGCCATCAAATGTTTTTTGGGGAAAGAGATTGATGGTGGATGGTGACAATAGGTGATGATTGACAGTGAGGAGCTGATGGTAGGTGAGGGTTGACGGTGAGGAAGTGACAGTGGATGATGGTGCTGATACAATTCTCCCCCCCCCCCCCCCACAAAAAAAAAAACTATGCATCTGAAGCAGAATGACAGCAGAAAGGAAGGGAATGTAAGACCGCGGGAGGGAAAGAGAAAATATAATCCTGGTTTTGAATGCCAAGAACATCAACTCCATGTTTGCTTCCCAGTGTGTGGGTGAAGCAACTTGCAGAGCACTCACAGGAAAAGGAGAAACACGGTACCCATAGATACTTGCACCTCAAAAATTCCCCATGTTTGCTCCCAGCTATCCAGACAACACAAGCTTTGCAGGTAGTAAGTAGCAGGTGAGGAAGGTGTGCAGGTGAGCAGACTCAGCAATTCACTGGCTGATTCTCCTCCCTTGACCCATGATTGTTACCCGAGCCACATGGACTGGCTGCCATCATAATTGCATTTTTAATTAACTCTTGGAACTCATGCATATCTCTTGTCAGACAGCTGGACTGGAGGGGTGTTGCTTGTGAGAGTAAACGACAACTCACAGCTCTTAGAGAACCTCCGGACTTGTTTTCATCATAGTGCTTGGCATGATTGTACATGCGCATATGAGAGAGAGAGAGGAGAGGGAGGGAGGGAGGGAGGGAGGGAGAGAGAGAGAGAGAGA